TCTTGCGCAGAAAACCATCCAATGATTTTTAGATGGTTCATTTATAATGCAAGAAGCTCCTTCATTTAGAATAAAATCCAAACCCCTTCCCAGGTCTTGAAAGCCTTGCTTGCCTCTCTGCCTTTATCAGGTATCAGCCCAAACTCATTCCTGCCCTTGAACTGCTTTTCTTCCTTGGTAGGGAAGATCCTGCCCCTAAACTTTATCTCACTGGTTTCCTAACTTTTCATACTAGTTTGAATGTTGCTCTGTCAAAGAGATTTTGCTAGGCCACTAATGTAACACAGAGTCTCCTGCACCTCAGTTTCCAAGTCGCTCTGTCTGTCTCATTGTTTAATCATGCCACGTAAGCACAATAATTATAATAGTGAATAACTCCAAATACTTACTCATTCTTGTGCTGTTAATTCCTAGACTTGTCCCATAAATAAGCTTGTTGTTGATTGCCATCACGTTGAGCATGACTCATAGTAACCCTATAAACAAACAGCCTGAAGCCTTTCTATAACTATCGATATTTATCAAAGTTCATAGAGTTTCCAGAGGCATGTCTGCTTTCTCCTTATACATCCAGGCTCAAACCTGGTGTTCACTCAGATTCTATGCCTTTACATACAAACCAAACTGCTCTACAAATTACCCAGTTTCAGTACATCTGAAGTAATTGTCAAGGCAGCCCTGGAGATTCATGCATATCCTGTTTTGTTTTGGTTTTTTTGTTTGTTTTTTTTCTAGAACATAATTCACTTTATTTGTTATAGAAAATCCACTAGGTGGTGGCCACAGCTGGAGCCTGAGTCCTCTGCACGGAGACTCTGGCGTATCCTGTTTTACAGACGCCGTTCCATCTACAGCTCTATTACCTTTAGTTTCCAGGGTAAGTTCCTATTCAGCATATGAAACCCAGGTACAATGCAAATCCCTGATAACTCCTCCCAGGTGTCTTTCTCCCTAGCAAAATATTCACTACAGTCTTCTATTTTTGCACTTATCATTCACTTAACTGTACTATGCTGAGTCTAGTATGGGCTTCTAGAACCTTGAGTCTGGAATACTCTCTTAAGTCCTGTATCCCGGATTTAGCACTCTGCCTAGCACACAAAAAGGAATCAATAAAGAGTTATTGGATTAAATGCATGATACTGAGGGCAGGTAGCATGTTATTCATACTTGCTTTCCTCTCCAGCCTTCTCAGTTCTAAACTATATATAAACAAGAAATAATAATCAATAAAGCCAGACAGATATGCACTGTCAGGTAAGGCAGAGAAATAGTAACATCAATGCAGAGTCTCATCTTGATTTTCTCAATGAAAACTCCTGATGATAGGACAATGTTGATGTCCATTTCTCCCTGGAATCTACTACTCTGTCTTAAGTGTATAATCTGTTTTAGCAAATGTTCTTCTTCAATTCCCTTAACAAGTCTCTCATTATAATTTGCCTATTATCTATTTTCTTGAGTTTCTAAGTCTTTCTACTTGAACAATAAGCCATGACAACATTTTGTGTCCTTGGATTCTTCTACTGCCTTTCCTTATCCTCTATTCTAAGCTCTTATCAACTCTTACCTTGATAAATGGACTATAAGAAGGTGAATTCCTGCATCTAAAACTTGACTCACCTTCTAATTACTTCCTGCACAACTTAGACAATCTTCTTGTAATTATTAACTTCAACAAGTTGCCCAAAGCCTGTGGAGCACTCTCTCTCTGTCCACTCAGCACTCAGATATATTGTGGTAACTACACCCACCTCATCTAATCAGGTCAGAGCTCATTTACTGTCACATAAGCACCACTGACTCAGCAGCACTATCCCCTTGTCCAAACCAAAGGCCTAAATCTACCTCTTTACTCTTCCTTTTCCCCTCACTTCTAACAACTACCTTTCCATACTGATATCCCACCTTTGAAACATGCCTTGAATCCATGCATTTCTCTCTAGCTCCATGCTTATTAGTTCAAGGTTTTCTTTCTCCTTCTCCTTCTCCTTCATCATCATCATCATCATCATCATCATCATCATCCTGTCCCTGGGCAGGTGAAACGACCTTCCTTCTAGTCATTCTCTTTCCCTCGTGCCGTTTACTGGTCTCCAAATTGAAGAACGTCACACAAAGTGCATGATGGTTTTCAGCTGCTTTCAGAGTAAGACTGAGACTCTTTGCCACGTCTGATGATGCTCTCCATGATCAGGATCATCACCTGCACCACCGCCTCCTCCGATCTCTGCAGAGCGAGCAGCCCTTCTGTTCCCTGTGCCCTTGCACTTGGCATTTCAATTGTAGGAAATGAACTCCCCCGGCTCTTCCTGTAGCTGATGACCTCCACCTTTTAGTTTTCAACTGAAACTGTTTCTTCAAATAGATATTCCACGACCACTTTTCTAAACTTGCCTTTGTATCTTCCTAAGAGGGTGAGGATTTTGTATTAGTCTTCATTGTATCTGTAGCACTAAGTTTCTTTCAGAGTGTAAATCATTATTTCAATATTATTAATTGAGGGAATTAAATAACTAAGTCTAAATATAGGACACACTTTCCCATGTCTATCTTTGCTCATGTATGTCTCTACCTAGAAACTTTCTACTTCAATTTTGTCAGCTAATGCTTATTACTATTTTCATGATCAAACATGACTCACAACACATAAGACTAGAAAGTTAATTCAGTTATCACATCCTAATTTTTCTCCTCAGTCTAGGATTAATTTATAAAATACTTTTTAATTCTTCTCTTTCCCACCCAGAAATGTTTTAGATAAATATCATGCGCAACAATAAAACAATTTATTAACTATTCGCCACTGCTGTCTCATCGACCTTATATACTCCATTGCCTCCAGGAAGTTAACGCTTGCTGAGTAAAAATTTTCAAAATGCAAAAATATTCTACTCCAGATTGAAACTAAAACAAAACCAAAAACCCACCAAAAAAAAAAACATAAAAAGGGGGAATGCATGTAAAGTTAGAAAAATTGATTGCCATGATGATTTAATGAGACAGGGAAGGAATTTCTTGGATAAGATTAGGAAAATAAGTAGCGTTTTGGTTAAAAATTAGGGCCAGTGGGAGAGAACAGTTTAAAAGTGATATATGATAGCATATTATGATTGTTACAGGAATCCAGAATTAAGGTTGCATAGTGGAGTGCATTTGGGGTGG